AAGCCAAATTTTTTTTCTAAAAAATAAAAATTATACATATAAAAATATTTTTTATTTTCAATACAAAAAACTAAAAATTATAAAAATTATTTATTATTATACATATAAAAATGTTTTTTTATTTTATATACAAAAAATAAGAATTATAAAAATTATGTACTATTATACATAAAAAATAAAAAGATTATTGTATATATAATAAAAATTATTTATTATATATATTTATACATTTATATGTATGTATGTGTGTATATAATCAAAAATATTTATTTATTGTACTAGGCTCACGAGCCTCATGAGCCAAGCTTCACTAGGCTCAAGCTCAGCTCGATTAGCAAATGATCCTATATATCAGGCTCTAGCTTGACTTTAAATTCGGTTTAAACCGAGCCGTGCCGAGCTCGAATAGGTCATGAAAAGCTCGACTCGTGGCCACCCCTACTCATTAACAATGTTCACTTTTAGGTTCACTTTTCAAGCTTGTGAGCTAACTCAATCATCAATCATATTTAACATATTTGGGCGGGTGTTCGCCAATGTGTATGATTATGTTTTCAAAACAAATACAATTACAATATCATTTTGCTGATGTGGAACTTTTTTTTAGAAAACAACTACCACATGTGATGAGGCCGAGTCTGGATCTGTTCCTTACAGATTGTTTCTAGCAGGAACACCTCCTGTAGTGGGTATAACTCCCAATTAGTACCTTGTACTTTGGGCCTAGTGCCACTTTGGTCCCTAAACTTTAAAATGTGACAATTTAGTATCCAAACTTTCAAAACGTGTCAATTTAGTACCTATCGTTAACCAATTGTTAACCGGCCATTAAGTGGCATTTGAAAAAGACACAAATGTCCTTTGAGTGTCATCTAATTTTCTTTATCAACCATTCAAACATTAACAAAAAAATTAACAATCCCAAATCTTTGCTTCTATTCAAGAAAACTAGGGACACGTCTCAGTGGGCATTCTGGACCCCAACTTTCTTGAATAAAAGAGACAAGGATTTAGGACTGTTAATTTTTTGTCAATGTTTGGATGGTTGATAAAGAAAATTAGATGACACTCGAAGGGCATTTATGTCTTTTTTCAAAGGCATTTAACGACTGGTTAACAGTAGGTAATAGATTGACACGTTTTAAAAGTTCAGATACTGAATTGTCACATTTTAAAGTTTGGGGACCAAAGTGGCACTAGGCCCAAAGTACAAGGTACTAATCAAGAATTTTCCCTATTATTTTTGCTCAAAAGTCAAAATCCTAAATACATGGTTATAGAGTTAAAAGTGAACACTAGCATCATAAAAGTGTATGTCATGTAGATGGAGCCATTATTATATCACAAAAGGATAAAAGCAACATAGAATAATCCTGCCAAATATTGCCTGGTTTAGGGTTTTTAGGCCATGTTTGGGAATGTTTATGTTAAAAATAAGTGCTTAAAAATAAGTGCTTATTCAAATAAGCAGTTATCTGCATTTGGCACCCACCTTTTTCATATGTTTATTTAAAAAAAAATAAGCACTTATTTCATATTGAGCGTTTGGTGTATTTTTCTCTAATAAGCAATTGCGACTCTTTTGTCCTTCATTTTCTTTCAAATTTTCAAAATACCCAATCCAAAGTGAATGAATAAAAAGTACTTTGATATAAGTGCTTTTATAAAAGTGCTTTTATAAAAGTATTTTCCTAAGTGCTTTTATAAAAGTATTTTCCTAAAAGTACTTTCATAAGTGCTTTTGTAAAAGTGCTCTTATAAAAGTACTTTTGTAAAAGCACTTTTATAAAAATACTTTCGTAAAAGTACTTTTATAAAAGTATTTTCGCAAAAGTATTTTCGTAAAAGTGTTTTCACGTAAAAGTGCTTTCCTATAAATGCTTGATATATGAGCACTTAAAAAAAAAGCTGGAAATTTGGATTTAAAAAATAAGCCCTTATTTTTAAAATAAACACTTATTTCGGGCTTATTTTCCAAACATAAATAAATGCTTAATAGTGTGGTCCCTGCTCAAATAAGCACTTATTTTTAAGCACTCCCAAACATGACCTTAGATTGCAATATTGGGCTCATGGGCCTAAGTCTAAACCTATTTAGTAAACATGAGAGGGCTGAGAGAGCTTGTTGGGCGGGTCTAATGTTCCATTTCAAACTCAATATTTTTTCATCATTATCATCATCTAACACTTATTCTAAACATATGAACCCACTACATGAATCCTGTTCTGTTTAATGTGATATTCATGGTTAAATTGAAATATGAGAAGTTAAAAGCCATTTTATTAGACTCGTTTAGGCCTTTAGGGTACATAGTTTTATTTTCGACTGATTTGGACCGATCATGATTTTTCTTAAAAAAGTTGGGCCACTTAGAAATTTATTGTGGGCCTCAGACCCTATGTGGGTTTCAAAATGGGCTAAATTTTGAGTCTTGGGAATATGGGGCACCAGTAACTTGCCACTTATCAACTTTCCCAGGAAATCTAAACTGCAGCTCCCTAATAATGCCCAAATCAGATGGCCCAAGAAGATCACCTGAGTAAATTGATTTTGGCATAGCCATTGATCTAGTGGGGACCCGTTCGCTGGTCGATCCTGATTCCTGAGATATGAGACAAGTTTCAAATTATGGGGGTCAAAAAAATAAACAGAAAATAGAAAGACAAGCATATCACTCTCATTAATATCCCATTTGATCTTTAATGGGCTAATCTCGCCTGCTAATTGACAAATTGCCAGACTTGGGCTGCTTGTACAGTTACACTATGTTTGGTTTGAAGGAAAGAGTAGGGAAAGAAAGGGAATGTAGAGAAACTATACAAGATTTGTAAAGGTTTTTCTTTCTTTTCCTTTCCCTACTTTTTCCTTCAAACCAAACATAGCGTTAGTGAAACTCTTAGGGCTGGGTTTAGGCTAAACGATTCAGCTTTAGCTAACTGGAGCCTAAGTGCCCGTTTGGGAGAGTTTTCCTATAGCAGTTTCAGACGTTACAAGATAGGCCCCACATGGATAGTTAAGAAGTCGTGTTTGTTGAAAACCCAGTAAAGCTGAAAGATAGTGTCATTGAGCTGTGATCTAGGGGTGAGCAAATGGGTCAGTTCTACCTAAAACTGAATGGAATGGCCTCAAACCAACCCTACCCAATATGTTGTCAAGTAAAGTCTGGTTCCAAATTCTAATTAAAAGCTAAAATCAACCCCCACCCAGGCTAGTCTCAGGGTATAGGGGTTTATCCTACCTAAACCAACCTGTATAACTGACCTTGATTGACCTTGGTGGAACCAAACTTAAAATAATTCCGAAAATACTTTAGGATATAAAGATTTGAACCAGACACTCGTAACTACAAAGACCATTGTCTCACTTGACCATTGAGTTTGCCCAAAAAAGAGCCACTTAATTATATTAACAAAGTTCCTTTAATTTAAAATTTTAATGTGGATAATAAGTAATGCAAAAAGCGATATTTACAAAGTTTAAAACACAATGATAAATTTGAACTATATACTAAGGTCCATTGGGTTTACAGTCGGAATCAAAATACGTTGAAATTGGAATTAGAATGATCTATTCCTATAGTATATTTGGTTCAGACAAGAATCAGAATGGGAATTGAAATCAACTGGAATAGGATTTCATTCCCAAAGAAGGGGAATGTCATTCCACCAGGGAAGGGACTTCAATTCAGCCTAACCAAAGCAATTGGAATTGGACATTCCAATTCCGATTCCAGACCCCTATCTTCATGAACTAAATGGGCCCTTAATATATTATTACAATTATTGGATTTAATTGCTAAACCACAATATTTTTGTGGTAAAGAAAGAACAAGTTCCATGGGTAGACTTTAGAACCACCAAGATCAGAACAAACCCTGAAACCAAACTTAATAGGATAGGTTTTGATTCCAAAATCCTAGAAACAACCCCTACAGAGTAGGTTCCAAATTCTACGTTAGAACCAAACCGAACCAACCCATACTCACCTTTACAGCCCTACTGCAAGCTCAACTTTTCGGTGAAGCTAGTTTTGATAGCTTCTTCCAAGCCGCTTAGTCAATGCAGCTCAATCAACACAAAAGTGAGGGCTTCAAGAAACGATTTCTAGAATTCTGAATTGGATGCCACATGGAATCCTCTAAAGCTGTATTTAGGCTCAGTTTGGTAGGAATACAAATACAAATGTATATTGTATAAATACATACAAAATACAAGGTTTTGCACTCTACAGATTTGTATTTATACTCCTTCCAAATTGAGCCTTAGTAAAAACTCAAAAAATTAACATGAACATTCCAAACGCCAGAATCATGACTGTAATATGAAGTTATACTCTAGCTTATCTGGAACACAGGTGCTCAACCAAAGCAGCTCGCCCCAAACACATAAGCCATCCCAAACAGGGCTTAATTACAAAGGGCCTGGATTGGCCAACCCAGACTTTGGTTTAGGGCCCATTTGGCGTGTCTTTCCGTACGGTCTTTCGGCTGTTTACAAGCCAGACAGATCAATTTTCAGTATATTTTCATTTGATTTGCGGAGGATCTAGTCACCAAAATCCAGAGTGCCAAAAAGACACGAAAAATCCATTTTGGGATAATTTCAGGAAGATCCAAATAAAGCTTTTTCGCATCTTTCGTGTTTTTTCTCACACGGAAAGACGCATAAAAAGACGTATATCTGCCAAACTAGCTTCGAACTACTCAAATCTTCATACAAAAACTCAATGCGCCTTTTAACTGTCAAAGCTATAAGAAGATCTTCTCAAAAAGACTTGCCAAACAGGCTTTTCAATCTTCCTCGCTCCGCCTTGCCGGCTTGCCTCTCTTCCTTTTTCGGCCAGCCCGCTCAAACCGGATCTATGTGTTACTGGTCGGATCGGGACGATTCCAATAGGCTATAACTTGATCTTTGAGGCTTTGACGGGCTCCAGAAGCTAAGCTAGGTCAAACGTGGCCCATGGCCATTTGTAAGGATTAATAACCCGGTCGGTTCACTTACGAATTACGATAGCCAGTTCATTAGAAGTAGAACCTCCGTGCCCATTCAGCAGCGTGGTTGTAGTCTGCAAGCTCGAAACTACCGTAGTCAGGACTCAGGATTCTTCTGACTCTGAAAATTTTGGGAAGAAACCTAAAATTGATCGAACCAGTCTTAACTTCCCAATTCTCGTTTCACCGTTTGAGAGGGAAAAAAAGGATAAAAATAGTAAGTTAGAATGAAACAAGTGGCTATTCTCTGTGCAAAGAAATGGTTTTTGAGAAGCTTTTCGTCAATCTCCTCGCATCCACTGCGAGTTTGTATAGTTGGAAGCGGGCCTTCTGGGTTTTACACAGCTGAGAAAGTAAGAATTTGGTACCATTCTCCTTTATTTGTTGCAAATGCATTTTGTTATCTCAAATTTTTATTATTTTTATTTATGTTGGTATGATAAAAATCAAACTTTTTATGAACGTTATGTTTGATCTCATTCATTTGTTTTTTCTATGGATTTCCACCCGTATATTTATTCAGTCGACCCATTGACTTCTTTCTTTCTTTTTTCTTTTTTACAAACAAAAAGTATATAGATTAAGGCCGTTTTAGTTGCGGAGTCGATTTTTTTTTGGGCTTATATTAATTTTGGGTTTATAGTTTTTTATTCTTATTTTTGTGTGGATTGTAACTCATCAATTTTTACTGCAAAGTTGAATCCTCTTTTGCTTAATAATTTTTGCAATGCTTTGATTATATCTCCAGATGTTGAAGGCGCATCAAGGAGCAGAAATCAATATCATTGACCGATTGCCAACACCATTTGGATTAGTCCGCTCAGGAGTAGCTCCTGATCATCCCGAAACAAAGGCGAGTAGTCCAATCCCCGTGTTTTTAAATAATGGCAAAGCTTGAATGGGAAAACGCGGTCACCGGAGAAAGATCAGTTCTGGTTATGATCTAAAGTTCCATGGAAACGTATACAATGCTCAAGATACACTGAGCATGACAGTTCATAATTCTCCCTATATTTTTCCATAATATGTTTGTACAGGTTTCAGAATGTGAATCATGTGTTTTTTTTTCTTATGGGTGAAAAATATTTAATCAAGGTGCATATTACAGCCTTTGATATGCACTTTGTCTCATTTCATACCTAAAATGCTCAACAAGTCAAGTTGGAAGTGAGATAGAACAAAATTGCCTGATTTCTAATACGTGAGGAAGCTAAAAAAATGCTGCCTGATTGGCCTCCCTTTAAAAGGAGACTAGCTCAACAACTTTAAGTTTCCGGAGGACATTCTACCGACAGTGTAACACAGTTCTACATGTTCATGGATAGGAAGATTCCCAGGGGTTTGAACCACACATGTCTGCTGCCCCATTACACCAGAACCTCCATGCGGACCAATCAATGTTCACCAGTATTGAACCTTGTACTGAGTGCTCAATCACATGTTCAGTAGTTTTATTGAACCAATTATGAACTTCAAATCTCTTTGAGCACCGGATTCAGTGTCATAACTTGGCCTTGGCACCTTTTTTGTTCCTCACACCAAATATTTGTGAACTAAAGGTACATAAAACCAGCTCCCAAAAATGTGTACAATTGTATCACTTGCAAATTGTCTCCTCACCCACAGAACTTCTCCTAGATAGCCAAGTATCCTTTTGCCTTTTAGGTTGAAACAACTGCAGGACCTCGACCCAGACTGATGCCGACAAAAAGCATTTGAAAAATAGACAGGTAAGGATAGTTTTCTCTGTGATCTTGAAAAATAAACAAGAGGAAGAAGAATGATGTTAAGCTATGTACATGTACATGGTTGGCATGTCATATCAGATACTTCAAATTTTTAGTGTAAATTTCTTATCTGAGACCTTTTTCAGCCCTGTCCTAGCTGTACCTGGGCAACATAGATATTAAGTCTCATTAAAAATCCTATGTTGGGAATCTCTCTAAATGTTACAGTTTTATCTTTACTTAGATTGTTCTGAATTCCATATGTGCTTGAGGAGCATGCTTTGTGAAATATTTCTCTTAATTGTGCTTAGTTTTATCAGAAAACTTGCAACAGATTGTGATTAACCAGTTTACTCGGGTTGCGTTGAACAAGCGGTGCTCATTCTTTGGAAATGTTTCCCTGGGGACCTCTATCTCACTATCCGAACTTCGTGAATTATATGATGTGGTGAGATACCATCCCTACAGAAGGAGATATTATGCAAAGAAGAATCTAATTATTCAGTCTTTAATTTGATTGAATTAGATGTAATTGATTGAGCAGGTGGTGCTGGCCTATGGTGCTGAAAGTGACAGGGTTCTAGGTGTGCCTGGAGAAGTATGTTTCTTGTCACTGCAATATGCATGATTTTCTTTCTATTATGGATCAATGTTATTGTGTGCATTATTGTAGTTTAGATAATGCCCTTGTTGTTTTGTAGTTAATATTCCAAACAATTATTCCTGAGGTAGTGGTTTGGCATTGCAAATGAAATTGTGCATCCTGTTTGGTTCTTATTTCTGTATATTTTCTTTTAGGATTTAGCAGGAATATACTCAGCTAGAGAATTTGTTTGGTGGTATAATGGTCACCCTGACTACAGCAATCTGGATCCTGATTTGAAGAATACTGATACAGCTGTGATTCTTGGTCAGGTATTTTCATAGCCTTTGACTAGGTCTTGTTCGGCCCCTCATTTAAATCCATAGAGATAAATCATATAATACCTAAATCTCTTATATAACAGATAGATTTATAAATGTAGAATAACTAGCATCATTTTAGAAATCGATAAATAGGAGAGACATGATATAAATGGCTCCAATGTGATTATTAACATAAAGAGAAATTATGAAGTTATGTAGATTGAGCAGGATCTTCTTTTGAAAGTCATTTTTCTCTCACCAGATTCCAGAGATCCTAGTTTCTATGTGAATCAATCCAAAGATCAATTGACAAAAGAATATTAGTCAGTGCATACCTTAGAAAGAGGGAGAAATCATACTGACTGAAACTGCCATGAAATCTTGGATAGTTTCACTTTAATGATTAATTCACTTTATTAAGAACTTTATGTCAAAGAACAACTAAAAGTATGCGTTCTCAAACTGCTATGATAATATATATATATATATATATATATATATATATATATATATATATATATATCACACATGATATGAAGTTTCAAATCATATTATCCTGTTAAAACACAATGCTTCATTTTATCTTAATAATACAGAATATTGAAGGTGACAGTTTGTACTAAGTTTTTTAAAGAATTAATGAAAGTTACCATTTCCCATAAAAAAGAAAAATCTTAATAATACAGAATATTTTTGTTGAATACATGTTCTCTATAGATGTCATTGAATATTGTGATGCCAATCCCCATGTATTTGCATGGCCAAAAACTAAAAAGAATGAAACCTCAAACTAAGATTGGTGCAAACCAACCATAGACTATAGTAGCCATCACATCTAGACTACTTTTTGTTCATCCAAAGGATTGTTTATCTAGCTGCTGAACATGAACATCTGTGAGTTATATAGGTAATAACCTTTCTTGCTCTGTTAGGTACTGTTCTCCTATGTATCTTTTTTTATTGGTACTGTTCCCTTATATATCTTTAATATCATCTTTAGTTCTTTACTATATGAGGGTGGTATCAATAAAAAAATAGATATATAGGAGAATGGTACCTTATCTATCAAATCTTTGATAGCATTGCTACTCAACAATTCAGTTCTTCCCTATCTCTATTTCTTGCCTTTCTATCAGGGCAATGTAGCTCTTGATGTTGCACGTATCCTTCTACGACCAAAAACTGAATTGGGGAACACTGATACTGCAAGCCATGCTCTAGTCTCTCTGCAGGAAAGTTCCATAAGGTTTGGTTCTGGAATACTTCAATATCAACTAGGAAGATTCAGTCCATGTTCTGATTTTGTGATATGGTTACAGGAAAGTGTATTTGGTTGGAAGACGTGGACCAGCACAGGCAGCTTGTACTGCCAAGGAACTACGTGAAGTTCTTGGTGATTCCCAGGTTTCCCTTTCCAAATTATCATTTTAAGCATGCTTATTTATTCATGGAAAGTTTTTCTTGATTTAAAGTTGAGGGCAAATCTCCTGTATGCTAGAATGTTCAAATGTTTAAGGGCATCTTTTTCAGGAGAAAGTTGCCTGATATTCTTTATCCATGTCTAGCTTCTGATTGTAAAATCCCATGGGAAAGGATAAACTGGTCAATTATAGTTTTATTTAACCAACTTGTGTTCACTTTTAAAAACGTTGCAATACTTTAGTGGTGAATTGGAAACTTGTTATTCTAGAGTGTTTTATAGTGTTAATACACTTACGAACAATAATTTTGAATCTTATGGTTTATCTACTCTAACTATTTCATTGTATTTTCCTTGTTATCTTACAATCAGCTCTTTTTTTTTTCAAAAGAATGTATTGGATGAAGTTGTACGATGATCCCCTTTTTTAGCACATGTAGCACTTAGAGAAATGTGGGCATCCTATTGCAGGTATTAAAGATTTGCATATTCACATCCAGGAAGCTGATCTACAAATATCACGAGCAGATGAGGTATATCTGTTTTTTCTCGAGGTTTTCTTATTGTATACATAATCAAACACCAATATTAATTATTTAATTTTACAGCTACTAGTTCTTGCATTTTGTTGATGTTTTTCCTTTTTATACATTGATGTTATTGATTGAAGAAAGAACTGAAGAATAACCGAATCCAACGACGGGTCTATGACTTGCTGTCTAAAGCAGCAACTACCAAGCCTTGTCATCCTACTTTTAGTCAATGTGAACTACATTTCATCTTCTTTCGGAAGCCAGACAGGTTTTTACCTTCAGATAACAGCAGCTCTAAGGTTACTGGTGTGCGCTTTGAGAAGACAATTCTAAAAGGTTTGTTCCACTAAACGTATAGTTGCATTGTATGGATTTACATGGGTCTCCTACATAACCTTTCTCCTTTTGATCAGTCAATGCTCAGCGTCTTGGTTTCCATATGCCTTGTAGCCTAATAGCTCAGTAGCCTTGACACCTAACGAATCAGCTCATAATCTTTCTTGTAGAGAACGGTAGCTCTGGAAGACAGTCTGCAGTGGGCACAGGACAGTTTGAAGACATTGAATGCGGGTAATTTCACCTTAATAAATGGGAATTCATTAATTTGTTTATCAGTACTTTGCATATCTTGATTCCTTCTGCAGGTTGGTTTTAAAAAGTATCGGTTACAAATCTGTGCCAGTTGATGGATTGCCCTTTGATCACCACAAAGGTAAAACTGGAACTCATTCATCATTGCAGAATTTTAGATTGCCACCTTCCTGACTTTCTTGAAATCTGCAACGATTGATGATTTATAAATAAATATAATGAAACTATCTGAAACAATTCAATAACAAAAGATGACTTCTGATTTTTTTTTCCTTCCCTACCTTCATAGAGATACAGGAAGCTTATGCCGTTATTATTTTTTTTTTCTTCCATTTTTGCTCAGGTGTGGTTCCAAACATTAGGGGCCGGGTTCTAAGTGATGCATCAACAGACCCTGAACCACTCAAGGGATTATATGTAGTTGGATGGTTGAAAAGAGGACCTACTGGGATCGTTGCAACAAACCTCTACTGCGCTGAAGAAACTGTAAGTAATCCTTTCGAGATGAAATAAACAGCAAAACACCAATTCTGCAAATAAGAAATGGCCAGTAAAAGGGCAACACAGTGCATGAGGCTCCCGTCAATGCAGGGTCTGGGGAAGGACGATGTATGCAGCCTTACCCCTATTTGCAAGAAATGGGCATTTTTACTTCTACCGAGTCCAGATATGCTCTTCACTCAGCGCTCCTCACACCCTCACAGGCACATCCCACCATGCATCAGGATCATCTCCCATATTGTGTTATTATTGAGAGATGTTCTCAACACATGATGGGATGTGCTTGTGAGGTGCACTCTGAGGGACAGATTCCAATTCACTTCTATCATATATGGGAATCCAAATTTCCTCGGTCTTCTAGGTGTGCAGCTGCAGTGTGCCGTGAGGAGGATTCTGAGGAAATCCGCACTCCATATATGGTGCCCGAGACTTTTTTTTCTCCAACTCCAAATCTCCTGCCCACGAACTCTATCCACGCCTACCCACGAAACATGTACAGGGATGAGATGTTCCCCTTGTGCAGCTGCGATGTTATGTGGGTAGAGTTGTATAATTGAAATGAATTACTTGTTAGCGATTACCAATTTACTAACGATAGTGTTATTATGCCAGGTTGCAAGCATCTCCGAAGATTTGGAACAAGGAATACTAATTCCTCGCTCGCCAAAGCAAGGCAAACAGGGACTCCTCCAAATATTAGAGAATAGGAATGTCAGATTTGTGCCATTCAGTGGCTGGGAGAAGATTGACATAAAAGAAAAAAGTGAAGGCGCCTTGAGAAACAAGCCCAGAGAAAAGATTGCCACGTGGGAAGAATTATTGAAGGTTGCTAACGAGTGAACAAATAAAAATATAAAGGAATCAAGGTTCTTTTATCTAATTGTTTTCTGATACATCATACATCATTGCATTTGTATTGTTCGTTTTGGTTGATTATTTCCTTTGAATTAATCAATTTTGGAAGTTAGACTACTGATCAAGCCACCTTGCCGTTGCATGGCAATAACTGGTTCATTGCATCTGGAACACCGGAATGAGGTAGTGGCAGCACATCGGGTGCGAAGGCAATAGTAACAATACCTGTATACAGAATAAATTATAGAGTCAGCATCTTTTCTTTCTACTTCTTTCATAACAGAATAAATTATAGAGTCAGCATCGGGTGCGAAGGCAATAGTATCAAAAATAATGGATGTACAAATTTATGGCAACGGCCATATACTCTCCATTTTACCCTGAACAATTGAGCATCATTGCTTTTCCTTTCTACTTTCATAACAGAAATATGAGAGAGAGTCTTTGAATATCAAGCCTGTAGGAAGTTTTTTGGCACCTTTAAATCGGTGCAAACTCAGAAATGCATATATGCCATTACCACTCTGAAACTTGCTCAGCTGCTTTTGTTTGTGTTTTTGTGTACGTGTGTACGTGTGCATGTGTACGTGAGAGAGAGAGAGAGAGAGAGAGAGCCACCCTCCAATTAAAGGGGAAATTTTTGTATGTTTAAATTCTGACAGCTAGAGCTCTCTGCATTACACATTAGTTCACAGACTCCTTGTAACAGTACCAATTTTGGATGAATTGCGCGGTGAAACTAACATGTCACACAGGGAGAGGCTTGTTGACAGACCAGGCTGTTGAATTTAGACAGCCAATGTTTTCTAATTTCCTTGGTTGTGTCAATTATTAATTTGTTGAAGTGGGTTTCAGCACAAGTGGCTTAGATGAGAACAATTTCTGTATGGAGAAGGTCGTTCTTAGATTATATGGATTTTCCTGAGCCAAACTTGAATCAACTATGAATTCTCTATAACTGTAATTGTGCCTAAGAATTTTGAGCGTCCAACCTTAGCCCATTCACACGCTAAGGTTATCAAAATAAATTAAAATGTAAAATCATAGACATGAGAGCATAAACTGCAACATACCTGTGCTGGCAAGGAACAGCAAGAAATGGAATAGTTGGATTTCCCTGGCAGATGGGACATGCAGCCTCGTCACCAGAAGAACCAGAAGATTTGTCCTTAGAGAATGGCAAAAGTAATCTTTTTATGGATGATGAGTTGAGTAGTGGAAGAAGCAACAGCAACATCTCCTGCACAACGATGAAGTTCCAAAAATACTGTTCCATCAGGATAGAGGATTATGTCTTCAACTGTTATTAAAGTAAACTGGCCTCAAAGGTACTCTTCTTATTTTAGGACTAAATGATTGCTTTAAAGTATTTAGGTTTTAGGATGAATAATTCTGGCCTCAAAAGTTTGCCTTATCACTTCAGAACCAAATGCTTGCTTTCAAGTATTTGGGATGAATAGTTTTATCGCAATACAGCTGTCAAGGCATTGCCTAGGCAACGAATCACCCTTGGCAGGAAACCTAGCCTGAATGCCATAACTTGTATCAAAAAGGTGCTTGTCTAGACAATTAGGCACCTACCTAGGTAGCAATAATCATAAGTTAGGAGCCTAAATGTAATACTATTAACATTGCTGCATTTTATTAGTATGGATTTAATACATCCTATCATATATACGTAAGACTTATGTGAGCTCAATTAGGCACTAAAGAAGGAGAAAAAGGAACTTATAAACTAGAAAATATGAGAGAAAGAAAAAGTAGGGATTTAAACCATGTTAGGTGCATTAAAAAGGAAGATTGAAAAATCTTGGTAAAAGATGAGGGTATCAAGGAAAGATGGAAAAACTATTTCAAAAAATTATTAAATGAACATGTAGAGAGTGAGATTAGTAACAATAATAGTGCCAAAATAACATGTACCTTCATAAAATTAGAACTACTAAAGTAAAAGAAATGCTAAATAAGATGGAGGGGGAGGCATTAGGACCTTGTAGTATTCCAATAGCAGCATGGAAAGGTATGGGAGAAATGGGCTTGTTATGACTAACCTACTTAATAAGATAATTAAAGAAAAAAAGATGCTTGATAAATGGAGAAAGAGCACTATGGTGTCTATATTTAAGAATGAAGGCAATATATTAAGTTGTAATAACTATCAGGGGATTAAACTCATGAGCCACACTATGAAACTTTGGGAGAAAATAATTGAGCAAGGTTACGACATAAGACAAGTATATTGTATAACCAATTTGGGTCTATGCCTGGAAGATCAACCATGGAGGTTATCTTTCTTTTGAGAAATTGATATAAAAGTTTATAGAGAAGAAGAGAGAACTTCAATTGGTGTACATTGATCTAGAGAAAGCATATGATACAGTCCCTAGAGAAATAATATGGTGGGTCTTGGAAAAGAAAAGGGGTTCCAAATAGGTATACAGACCTAATTAAGGATATTACAAGGTGCAAAAACCTACGTTAGAACACTTGTGAGAGACATCAGATTTTACAGTTACAATGGGTCTTCACTATGGTTCAGCACTTAACCCTTATTCATTTGCACTGGTCATGGATGGACTAACAAAACATGTTCAGGCTCATGGTGCATTTTGTTTGTCAATGACATTGTTTTAATTGAATAAATTAATGAATGATTAAATACAAAATTAAGATTTTTTTAGAACAGGTAAAGTATAATGTCATTAAATAGAAAGATAAACATGTACAACAAGCTGATGTACACAGGGATTTAGAATCACCGCCCATGCAGTCCTATACCCCCCAGCCCTACTTTACGAAATGATTATCATATAGAAAAAAAAAAAAACTAGTTACAATTTCTGTCCTTAAACAATTTGTTTACACAAGGCCAATAACACATTTTGCCCACAATTTTCTGAAAATACCGAGTCAGTAGAGCTGACTTTGTTATTGAATATTCTTGCATATCTCTCCTACCAAATGCATCAAAAAACTATTGGAGACATGTTCCATGCCAATTTTCCCCTCTTGGATAATCATCTTATACCAGCCTTTCACAAAATCCATCTCCGATTCTAGACATCATCTTTTCACCTCAAACAACTTACAGATTTTGGATCAAACCTTAGCAAAAAATCTACAATGTAGCAACAGATAGATTCCTCTTGTTGCTCACATAGGACACAGTTTGTGGAAGCCTAGTGCAAACCCTTCCTTACCAAGTTATCCCTAGTAAGGATTCTGTTTAGGTAGGCAGTCCAAACAAAAAAGGATATCTTTGTAGGCACACATTCTTGCTCCAAACAATCTTAATTGTGATTCTCTGCTCCTTTGACCAGAAAGACTTAACTGAGAAGTTTCCAAATTTATCCCACTCCCACATTCTGCTATCTCCTGATGTCCACTTGGGTGCTATACAACTTCAGCAACATTTCCACCATCGCCTCTACTTCCCAGTTGTTCAGACTTCTTCTAAACTGAGAAATTCATACCACCTTTCCATTTTGCACCTGCATATTTTCTGCCGGATTGGCTTCTTTGCTTGCTGCCACCTCATAAAGGCCAGTATAAATCTCCTTCACAGGTCTATTTTCACACTCCACATCCTCCCAGGATTTTACCCCAAGTTCATCTCCAACTTTCAAACTTACTCCCTTTGAGAAAAGATCACAAGCTTTCTCGAGCCCTTTCCACACTGAGCATCCATAACTTTGATTTGGTACTCCCAGTTCCCATCTTGAGTTTCTAAATCCATGCTTTGCTACTACCACCCTTCTCCATAGTCCCCCAGACTGTTACGAAACCTCCAATACCATTTAACCAAAAGGGCAATATTGATATTTCTCACCCTGCGAACACCTAGACCTCCTTGCTGTTTAGTTTTACACACCTTATTCCAGCTGACCAGGTTGTTAAATGCAAAATTAAGATTAAGGACAAATACCTTAGAAACAAGAGGTTTTAAAATAAGTAGGACAAACAAAATATATGCTATGCAGATTTAATAATAATAGGAGTGAAAATCAGGGTACATTTAGGGTAGGAGACCTAGAGATAATTCAATTTGACCTTTTCTGGTTCTGATACCTTGGTTTGATAATGGTAAAATCTCAAGCTGACAAACATGATACTGCAGGCTCAAGTCTAAGAGAGTGGCCACTTTGTGCTAAAAAAAGCAGAAAACAAAGGTTAGTTCCTTGTACAGTCCACCCCTCCCAACATCCTGGATGGCCAGAACCATCATTGGGTAATGGCCCTTGGCATATATATATATAGGGAGGGACAGATGTACACCATGCACATACAGAGGGGCTATTTCCAAGTTTGAACCCTGGATATCCAGGTCACAATGGAGCAACCCAACTGTAAACAGAACAAATTTAAGGCCTAGAAAATTAAAAAAGGTCAGCAATAACAGTAGGTGCCAGGATTTTGAGGTCCTAAAGCAGGAATTATGGGATGCAAGTGAGATACAAACTGAATCAGCACCCTGACAACTGTGACAGCCTCCTCCGAACGAGTTTTGAACTATTTTAGAGTGGTTTCCCTAAGATTTAAGCTAGACATGCACAGTTTAGTTCTTAACTTTCTATTAGCACCCTGCATTTACTTGACCTGTCGGTACAGTGACTACAGTCACATGCCTTTTATTGATTGGGAATAACAAAAGGATTAGTATGGATCCGTGACACTTAAATATATATGCATCAATCTATATGGATGTAAAAACAGTTCCAAACTAATGATTGAGAGGTATAAATTGGATCAGTACCTTGACAAAAACTGTGAAAACCTCCTACAATCAAGTTTTGAATTATTTAAGGATGGCTTTCCTAATATTTAAGCTAGACTTTCACAGTTCAGTTATTCAGTATTTAATTTTCCATCTCACTCTGCATTTGCCTGACCCTTTGCACACTAATAAGACTTATAGTGATTGGAAAAAAAAAAATTATACTTATCGATATGCATCAATACAGTTCCAAAACTAACGATTGATGGAAGAACAGTTTACCGAGAACTCATTCCACACCAATTGGCGATTCATGTACTCAAAGCTAACAGCTCGGTTCATGTTGGGACTCCCATAAACAAGCCTTGCTTTGAGAGCTCTCTCAATAATATTTCTGTACCTGCAATGCAAAAAATAAATAAATAAGAAGAATAATGGAAAAAAATCATGATTAAACCTTCCAAACTTAAGTGCACTGAACCTTCAGAATGCAAACATAATATTTCAGACAATACAAAGTAAACTTGAATGAAGTACCAATGCATATTTGAATCTTTCTCCTAATTAGGGCTGCAAATGGATCAGATTAAATACAATTTGTTTAAATCCAATTTGAATTCGAATCTGATGCATCTAATCCAATTTAACAATTGGATTGAAATCAGAAATTGCTTGATCCAATCCACTAAGACCCAACCCAAATGTATGTATGCTGTATGCATATGCAAAATATAAGTTTTTTAGCATTAAAGTTCTTTAGATTAAACGGGATTTGGGATTTAAATAAACTTACTTTTTGTTTTAAATTTACTTTGTAAATTTATGCCAATTTTATATGGATTTACTATTATTTATTGGATATCTGGATATTTAAACTAATCACACTCGAATCTATGTTTGACATATCCATTGGATATTGGATCAAATTTGGATCTCAGATTCTTATCAAATAGAGAGTTTACATATAGCCTATCCAAATTCGACCCAATCCATTGGCAGCCCTATTCCTAATACATGAGATTTCCTTCAGTTAAAAAGAAAAAGAAAAAGAAAAAGATTTCCTTCAATTGTTTGGAGTTCAATGGGGGTGCAAATGGATCGGATCATGATCCGATCCAAAGTCCGATCCTATTTTGTTGGATTTGGATATCCTTATTTCGATTTTTTATCGGATTCGGATCCCCCCCCCCGGCACACACACACCTTTCTGATCCAATATATGTGTTATCTATTTATTTACTTATAAATATGTTATTTATATTGCATTTTTGTAATTTTTTATATTTTTTTATAAAAAACTTGTATATATGATGAAAATAGTTGAAAAATACTTGTATTTTTTGTTTTTCTTTATTTAAACTCTTATATTTTCTTTTCCTTTTAATAACCTATTAATTTTTTAAAAATTAAATCAGATCGGATCATATTCGGATATCCGGCATCCTGATCGGTTTCGAATTTGAATCAGTATTTATGAGATCTGATTGGATCTACAGAGTATCGGATCAGATTTGGATATACCCTGATTCAAATCCGTTCCAATCTGTTTGCATCCCTAGAGTTCAAACACCATCAGTTTATACAGTTGATAATATCCATTTAATCTTGCAAGATTCTTTTGGTCAGTAACAAGGCAATCTTTATTAATTGTTATGAAAGAATGCCACACAGGGTTAAACTTGTACCATCTAGTTCACATTTTGGAATCATGCTTGTAAGTTGTAGAAGACACTGAAATCATATCGCATGCATATGTTCAAATTCCAAAATATCCAAGATAGGTTGATGGTCAAAGCATCACCTTCCTGTGTAAAGAAATATGAGCAGGTTGAAAAAGGAGGCAGCTCTGTACACACCCTCTACATGTCGTATCGAAGTCCACGCAAGACGTGCCAACGATGTCTAAATCACATGTGAAGCAACAAAAATTAACCCCTACTTCTGAATAAACATTCAAATTTGGAAATACTTTGGATAAAGAAAAAAAGATTGCACCTGCTCAGAATCACCCCACCTACGGAAAGCAGAAAAGGACTGTAAACGAGCCCATATATACTGACCACCAACAGTGGAAAGGCAATACCATATCTTCTGAGAAACAGTAAGCCCAGGCCCTTCCAACCCTGTTCTTACTGAAAAAGATATACAGAAGAAATCTTGTATCACTTTAAATTTGAAACCAATCCAAATATAGAATACATCTTAAAGTGTATACAATGAAGACCATGGAATAGTTGCACAAATGTTGGACGATTATGAAGTTTGTACTTCAGAGGCCTGTGAATGGTGGATGCCACCAGATATGTCTTTACCTAAGTTATTGTACCCAAAACCCACTGCCCTAATGCCAAGATAGCAAACCTCCAAATAAGAGAATAGTTTCCTTAATAAAGAAATACCATTTATAGCTATAAAGCTCTTTCGCCTTTTGTTTCACTTTTTATTTATTTTTTTTATTTTATTTTATTTTTTTGGGGGGTGGGGGGGGGAGCAGATCAGTAATCAGTGGTGAGTCATCAGTATGAAACAAGATCCAGTTTGCAACTGCAATACAAGCTGCCCAAGATTCATGCCAAGTAGGAAGTTCTGGTTATATACAAAAGCTCATTTATTTGCACCAACTATTAAGAGGTTCATCCAAGAGTTACCTAAACTACAACTTGACTACAATACCAAGATACCTCTACAAGATTTTCATATCATATAACATACTTCAGTTTTATGTAAATATGATATCCCACACTAATGCCATGCTGTATATGGATAATATAGCCAATGAACAGAAAATGAAATCCTTGATTTCAGCCTGTTAGTGTCGAGTATGTAGGGGTATTTCTGTCTTTATACTTATGTTGAGGTTGCTGATCTGTAATATTAGATTAGAACTAGTGTCCCTCACTTAAGTAAGGGCACATGTGTCTTTTCCATTATGTTAGTAATATAAAACATGTCTGGCCAAATGGCAGAGGTAATTTTTCTCTCATTCGAACCAGACTTTTCTTCTCTCCTTTTCTCCTCTTTTCTCTCTCTCTTTCTTTCTTCTTTCTTCTTCTCTCTTCTTGGCAGTTATCAGACTAACAGAACTCAAGGGCAGGTTGAATCATAATATGGTATCAGAGCTCAACTAAGCAACTCGGATCTGCCCAGATTTCTGTTTTCTGCGCACTCGGTCTAGGGTTTTCTCTTGATTTCTCTGCCATTAATGGGAGATAAGGGAAACGGCTAAAAAGGAGTGGTCGCCCTCTTCCCTTGGAGGTCTCTATGCCTCCAGTTGTGCTGTTCATGGTCAGTTGCTGTGGTTTCTAAGAAGCCCTCCCCTAATCGATGAAGAGAAGAGGGCTGATTCATGTGGTGCAGTGGGTGTCTTGTGAGGTCTGATTTTTTTTTTTTTTGTGTGTGGTTTGTTTTTCGGGTAATGAGGTAAGAGATTTCTATGCATATTTTTTGTTATGAATCAAATAGGAAGTATGTTTCAGATCGTATGGTGAGATTTCAGACTGTAGTGTGCTAGGGTTTATGCTGTTTTTTAGTGTGATTCAAAGGGGGAGTGGTCCTCATATAGTGTGGTGAGAATTCAGGTAGTCGTGGGATAGGGTTTGTGGTGTAAAGAGTGCAATCTTCAGCAATAACAAGTGCTGAAACCAATGTGATCAAGTAGTGTGCAGTGTACCGAATTCAGTAATAACAGAATTCAGCAATGGGAGATAGCAGTGATAGCAAATCTAATGTGATGATACCTACTRASTACYTGAATGTTCAAATGACCTCCATTAAACTGAATGGAGAGAATTATGTACCTTGGGCTAAATCTGTAGAAGTTTTTCTGAAGGCAAAGAAGAAGGTGAAACACATAAGGGAGGAGAAACCCTCCACTAATTCTCATGAGTATGGTGACTAGGAACAAGAGGATGCACAGATTATCACGTGGTTATGGAACAGTATGGAACCCAAGATTAGTGTAAATTTCATGTTTCTTGACACTRCCAAAGATGTGTKRGACCATGCTAAKAAGTTGTATTCTGGTCAAGACAATACAACCAGAGTATATCAGTTGTATCAGGAATACTTTAATCTACAACAAGGCAGACAGAGTCTTGAGGAGTACTATGCTAGT